TTGTTCATATCGGCCACCGTGTATTTATAACCCAACAAATTATATCAACTCATTAAATAATGTTCTCAAAAATATCAACTCAAAAAATAATATAATATTTACAGGAGATGTTAATATTGATATTATGCCAGAAAACGTAAACATTTTTACAAACTATTATATTAACCTTATGGCTTCATATGGTCTGTTTTAGGGTATAAACCGACCCACTAGAATAAAAACATGTATCGATCATTTTTTTATAAAAACTAGAAATAAATGGCAAACAGTAGTATTTGATGAACTAACTGATCATTCTCCGATTCTATTAAACATAGCCGAACCAAACATAATGTTGAATAGGAAAACTGAATAATTTAAAAATATAATTGATTATAGTACTATTGATAAAATATTAAAACAGGAAACACGGTATACATTTTATAAAATGACTGATGTTAATATTGCTGCTGAATATTTAGTAAATAAAATTCAATCATTGGGACACACATATAATGTTAATTACTAAAAGAATTAGAAAACTAATATACGTATTTAAAAATCTTAGAGATGTTGCACATGAAACTCTCATAATCCAGGTATATAAAGCACTCTGTGAGTCTATAATTAACTACTGTATTTGCTCATGGGGTGGTGCAAGTAAAACCTATCTCATTATAGTAGAACGTGCACAACGTGTAGTATTGAAAGTTATGCTGCGTCAATCATTCTAATTTTCTACCTACAAACTGTATCAGGATGCCAAGGTTCTAAGCGTTAGAAAGTTGTATATCGTTAATTGTATAATGAAGTGCCACAGAGAAACTATACCAAATTTAACTATAGTAGAAAACAAAAGAATTGATCGCTGCCCAGTATCATTTGCCAAAACAAGCTTTGCCCAGAGACACTATAACTTCCATACGCCTTACTTATATAATAAAGTAAACAAATTATACAGCATAAAAAAGATGAAAAAAACTGCGCTAAAAAACATACTAAAAACCTGGTTAGAAAGTTTTGACTATGACCAAACAGAAAATGTATTAAAAATTTAACTCAGGTAATTACATACACATATAGTATAAGAATTACTATATAAATAACACACACACACACACACTTACCTACATACCCATACTCCTAATCAAACACATGGACACTATAAAAATTATTTTGCCTCATTTTTCTTGTATACTTATTACTTTGATTTTTTTCTCTCTTTACATTGTGTTAAAATAAAGTTCTGTATAATCTAGTATGTCAAAAACAATAGCGGCTCTTTTATACATTTGTTTTTTGTATTCAAAAGTATTTAAGTTTTTTTTTTCATTCCTTTATGTACACAACTGCAGATGTACCAATAATGTCTACAGAATGTTGAAGGGAACTGGCTTTCGTGGCACAGGTTCACCTAAATCGAAAGCCAGGGCTAACTATATTTAATTGTACCGTGCATTTATGAATAAAGTTTATTGAAGCCGATACAGTTAAGCGTGGAGTGGTGAAATATTCAGTAATGAAAAACGATAGAAGTTTACAGCTGTCCGTGTCGCTTGCGCATATATAGCGTGAGGATAGTGGACGCGTTCGCCTGCGGTGCGAGGGAAGTGATAACTGCTATAGGTGTCGCTATCTACGCACAAGCGGTGGGATCAATTTAATTACCAAACAAGTAGGTATACAGGTATGTAACATTAAGGGGTCTTCCTATGTGACGGCCTGTTTTTTAGGGATATTTTAGGATTTTTTTTCTACGACCAGTAAATATTTAGAGCTTCAAGTTTTTTATCATTTATTAACACATATTTGGACAGTATAAATATAAAATTTCAGCTAAAAATATTCAGTCAAACTAGAGTTACAGCGCTCTGAACACCCCCGCCTCGAAAAAAAGAGCTCCCACTTCCTCCACGATTCCGGCTGATCGGCTTATCTGAAAAAAAAAAAAAAACGGCGTTTTAATTTGTAGGCTTAAAAGCACGGAATGACCTATAATCAAATGAATATAAAAAAAATTGGATTTTTGATAGACATTTGAAATAAAAGTTGCAAATTAGGCGTTTGTTTTTTTTTGTTTTTTGCTATAAAAAAATCGAAGTTTTGAAAATTTTCGATTCCCATGCGTTTACATATATTGAGTGTGCCCTGTAAATTTCAAGTAATTCGGTCCAGCCGTTTCTGAGATACAATGGAGGAAAGTTTGAAAAACACAGTTTTGAGAAAAACGCGTTTAAAGTTTCAAGTCCGTTAAAAACTATTAAAATATCAACTTACTCTCAATCGGCGATGCCTGGTCCATAGAGTATTCCTTCCTCTTCCTCGTGAAATTCTTTTAAAGCAGATTGTTCAGCTCTTGAGTCAATCCTGGCTTGTTTAACGACATCACTTACGCGCCGCTCAGAGCGTAAGATTCGCTTTTCATCCCGTTTCTCAACATACGCTTGGGCTTCACGACCAACAGGGCATCCCATAATCGACATAACTTTTAAAATACCTTGAAAACCTTCATTAAAGATAATAACTGCTAAGTAGCTAGCAATTTCAACAACTTTGGGACCAGAATGAAGATGTTTAGGAGCGAAAGTCCAAATCAAAGAATTCAAAGATTCGTTATTGTTTTGTGTCTCTGCTCCTAAACAACGAATTAATAATTCGTCTTTCGATAAATCTTCGAAAACCGGTTTGATAGCTTCTTGAACTTGCGGAATTAGAGGTGGTTTATCGTGATGAAATTGGTCCAGTTCATTATTAGCTTCAGCCTTACGCCATTTACACCAACTGTCTTCGCCTTCTGGACAAAATTGATGCTGAGGGTTTTCATCAGAAGAACATTTGTGATAGTACGTTGCCCAAACTTCCTTTCTCATATCTTCAAGCGAATCTGGATGGCGTCGAATTGCTAATCCGTAGAATTTTGTAATTTCTTGGATAACTTTATCAGTAAGTTTACCTGCTCCTTTTCTGTTTAAGTCTGTAGAAACGTGTCTAAACTTGTATAAACAAATATATTAATAAAAGGGAGGCCAGGTATAAAGCCGACGGTACACAATAGGCCCGGTCTCTAACTGCCAACTCACCGCTCCGAACCGCTCTTTCTTTTACCTGCTGTATCTTTAAAACGACTTCGAATTTTCTAAAATCGCTTTACTACCGTATTCTAGACATGTTAAGGGAGCAATTTATGAAAAAAAAAATCGATTTTTTCAACCCATCACATAGGAAGACCCCCTTAAGTTTTACAGATACACCCTACAAACGAACAATATATTTTAACAGTGAAGCATCAATTTATACATATATATAGTAAAAGGTAAGTATGGATTTATATATACATACATTATGGTTATTTCTATATGTTTTATGTGTTTTTATTTTTATTAATATTTTAGTTTTATTTTACAGGTCCGGTTCGCAGTCGCGAGGCACGTCGGCTACATTTATTATTATTATTATATTATTATTTGTTTTTGAACTATTATATATATATATTTATATTATAATAGGATAACATTTATTTTTTATTATAGTTAAAAATTGAGATTTGGCTAAAATATGCTTAAGGACTCGCGTCAAAATTAATTAAAATCAGTTCTGCCGTTTAGTCGGCAAAAGGTAACGAACATAACTGAAATACGACATCAGACAAAAATTTCTAACTTTCGCTTTCGATGAATACGTCACACCATTTATATAAAAGTTGGACAACTTTTATTATGTTATACAATCCTGTGGGCTAAGATATGGTCATTATTCATCAAAATATTCGTGGCTTCTCCAGCAAACAATTAGAATCTAACAATGTACGGGTGTTATGTCTGACAGAACATTGGCTTAAACAATATGAAATATTTGTGTTTATCGTCCGCCATCGGCTTGTTTTGATTCTTTTGAACTGGCTATGGAGGAAGCATTGAGACGAGTCGCACGGAGGAATAAAACATTATTTGTATGTGGCGATTTTAATGTTGATCTATTATCGGGATGCTCAATAAGCCTAAGATTGATTAACTTATTTAAATCATTTGATTTGCACCTTTCGCATTCGATGAATACGTCACACCATTTATATAATAGTTGAACAACTTTTATTATGTTATACAGTCCTGTGGGCTAATTATGTAACATGATATGAAATTGTTTCTGTTGAAGTTGTGATGCAATATAAAATCATTTCTATTTAAAAATTGCGATCAAGTAAGATCGAATGACGGCAGCATAAATCATTTCTATCGATAAAATACTACTATGAAGTTGCAGCGGAATATTCTTAATCCGATCAATTTAAAAAGTGAGTACATTAGATAGCTTGTACCCTTAGAGGGATACATTTTAAATTATTGGGTTAATATACTAGTTGGTTGATTTGAAACAATTTTCATTGCGTTCAAAAATTACAAAATAAACTGCAGCGTTCACTTATTCTTTTATTTAAATTTTATTAATAGACATTTAATAAAATAAAATAAAGAAAGTCTATTCTATTCTAATGAAAAAATAAGGTAAATTTTGAATATAAAAGCATATTTTATACAAACTATTTATATTCATTAATAATATTAATCTAACCTACAAATTATTTTTTTCTTTTCTGCTATAGATATCTAGGTAGGTACGTAGGTATTCATATAAATTTAAAATAATATGGGCACATCTTTTTAAATTTGTACATAATTTAAAAAACTTTAAACAAATAAATTTATTTACTTAAACAAATCACAGAGCACCATAAACGTTCCATGTTCCGTTCACAGAGCACCGTATTCATTGAAATAGTTTTTTAATTATATTAATATTATAAACAACCCTAATTTTATATTAACTAGAGTAAGTTAAAAACATTAAATAATGAACAAGGCCTACTCCAAACATCAAACAAAGATATCAACGAATGATGGAGAGAGTATTACACTGAACTTCTTAACGAAACATTCCCAAGTGAAGATCTCTACGAAATACCTGCTACGGAAGGCCCGATTCCATGCATATCACCCGAAGAGGTTCACTCGGCGATTAAACACATGGCTAACAGCAAAGCTCGTGGGCCCGATGATATCCCTGTTGAATTGTGGAAGAAACTAGGAGGTACCGGTATAATGTTCCTGACAAAACTCTTCAACAGAATTCTCATTGACGGAATGCCCGATGACTGGAGAAGAAGTCTCCTGATCCCGTTTTATAAGAACAAGGGTGACATCAGACTGTGTGGAAACTACAGAGCTATAAAGCTCATATCACACTCCTTCAAAATATGGGAAAAAGTCATTAACAGCAGACTACTCCAGCTTACCAAAGTGACTGATAATCAATGTGGTTTCATCGCAGGAAGGTCAACTACTGATGCCATACATTCGATCAGAATTCTGATGGAAAAATATAGAGAAAGCCAAACCGATCTACACATGGTATTCATCGACTTGGAAAAAGCTTTCGACCGTGTACCAAGAGAGCTTATTTGGCATGCTCTGAGGGCACAAAAAGTACCGGAGCACTATATAATTTTGGTAAAGGACATGTACCACAACGTTAAAACTAAAGTGCGAAGCCCAGCTGGAGTAAGTGATGAGTTCGATGTGGCGGTCGGAGTCCATCAAGGCTCAGCATTAAGTCCCCTGCTCTTCAACCTCGTAATAAATTACCTTACGTCGGAATTACAGCGTTCTCCACCCTGGGATATTCTCTATGCTGATGACATCATACTCATCAGTGAAGACCCCAATAACCTACAGCAAAGGTTGGAAGAGTGGAGAGGAGCACTCGAAAGAGCTGGACTGCGAGTTAGTAGAGAGAAAACCGAGCACATGCACTGCAATTTCAGTGGCACCAACAGCAGAAACACCATTTATCTGCAGGATGCTCCAATAAAGGAAACCGACCGATTCAAATACCTCGGTTCGATTATATGTAGTGATGGGACAATAGATGCAGATATAACTCACCACATAAATACTGGGTGGATGAAATGGAGGGAGCTCTCTGGGGTACTCTGCGATAGAAGAATGCCCATTCGCACCAAGGGCAGAGTATATAAAGCGGCAGTGCGTGCGGCCATGACGTACGGCTCTGAATGCTGGGCGCTGAAAAAGCACCAAGAGCAGAAACTCAATGTCGCAGAAATGAGAATGCTAAGATGGGCTGGTGGCATAACAATGGTGGATCACATCAAAAACATCCACGTTCGAGGTAGGTTTAAGGTGACTCCCATACAGGAGAAGATTTTAGAGAGCCGCCTAAGGTGGTACGGTCATGTCATGCGGCGACCATCAGACCACATGACAAGAACAGTGCTTGACATAAGTACCCAGCCCAGAAGACGCGGCAGACCCCGTCTCACATGGATGTCCGTTATTGAGAGGGATATAAAAAGCGCCAAAATAACATCCTAGACAACCCAGGACAGAACGTCCTGGCGAAGACTGACCAGACGGGCCGACCCCAAATAAATGGGACCAGGGCCAGGCTAAAGAAGAAAGAAGTTAATACAACATTTTTTATTCTATGTGATTTGGGACGAAAATAAAATATCGAATTGGCAACACTGATGTCATGTTGTGAATCGTGACAATTTTCCCATTTTAATAAATTTAAAACCTTTTCACCACTTTCTACGTAATATTTAATATAATAAAAATATATGTAATACTGAAAATTACCAAAACAAGATAAATAATGCTGCTAATGCTGATATTTTAAAGATTGTAACCAAAAGAAACACCTTCTAAATTGTTTCTTATACTCTAAAAACCGTTTCAATTCCACGCTGTCATTTCGGCAAAATAGCGATTACGTGACATTGCAACGAGGTTACTAAATCGACATTCGATAGAAATATTTTTTATCGATATGTAAAGTTGCGTTTACGTTGCAATGCTAGTTGACAGCGTCAAATGGCGTCAATATAATCGCATTATTGACAGATGACGTCATTTTCACTACGTTACATACGAAAATCGTTGCGAACGAAGTTAGATAATTAGCCCACTGTTACGTAGAAACAGTACTATTGTTTTTCCTCGCAATAAAATAAAAATAAAGGTTAATCCTTGACTTTTCAATAATCTCGCCTTTGAAAACGTAATAAAAGTTTCAGTATTTGAGAATCTACTTCTATACTACGTAGTATGCTATATATATGACCAAGTATGATCATCACTAACCCACTCACGTTACTACGCGCTTGCTTCACCTTTTAACGACAAAACTGACACCGTCTGTCGGTTCACTGAATGACCACGATCTACTTCATCGCAACTATTCGTCAATGTTGCGCATACTTAAAAGTATGAAATATAAAAATGGAAAGATCTCACCAGATTCATGACATTAAGCGTCGATAAGACGTTTCGTAATGTCTGTTGAGGTAGCAACCGATCGCGCCACCGCACCAGGTGCGCTCGTTGGCGGGTCCGGCTGGCGCGCCGACTGTCTGCGCGGGCGGCGACAGCGCGGCGGGGCCGGTGCCGGCGCAGGCACGTCGTCAGCATCTACGTCGGCAGCTATATGCGAACCCCTGTTTCGCTGAGCTACCGCACGTTGTTCCAGCGACACCAATTGTTGAGACTTGCGTCCATTAACGCTGCTAGTTCACCTATATTTGATAGGTGGAGAACGGAGACGCGTGCTCTCGTAACGATGGGCGTTTTCTACTCGACATGTAATCAATCCTTAGTCAAAAATGTTATTCGCGACCAAAAATGGCCTCGAATCCCACTTCTGATGTTAGGAATAACCTCTAAATTTAATTAAATAAAAGAAATTTATAACAAATCGTATAATTAATTTTAACAAAATCAGTACAAGAATCTATAAAGCAAATACGGTATGATACGGAAATTCGTTCGAGAGCACGTCTGTCGACCAAAAGAGACCGCACACTTTTTTTTTTTTCTTTTCGGACTACTCTAATGCTGTTGGCCGTAGCTGGCCTTTACAGCTTCACCGGACGTTATGGGGCGAGTGCAGATGGCACTCCAAACCCGCGGAAGGACTTATGGAGCGGCTGAAAGCCAACTCCTTTTTTTTTTTTTTTAGAGGGGAAATGTTAAAAAAAGAACCGTCCGTCTTTATGAGAGGGTACGGACGGATAATGTGGGACTTGACCCACCAAAACCCCCCGGTGTTCCTTCGCACCACGAAAATCCGCCGGACGCACGGGAGCATAATATTCGTCCGCACGCCGGCCGCGTTCTCCATGACAGAGCCGCCTCCGAGTGTGGGTTACGGGGACCACTCCGTATCCACCCTCCACGGACCACTCCTCGCCAATGAGATTTGGATGCCCTCATATCCGCCACTCTGAGGGTCCACGAAAAAGAGTGTCGGGGCCTAGGGCGTGAATCACCGCCTTCGGCCCCCCACCAGTAGGCCGCGGCCGCGCCTGCGGCTGCGGTGCCGCGGCGCTGAAGGCACCGCCCCGCCCGGACCGGCCCCGATCGGGGCAGAATAACACGCGTCGTCGACGATAGTGTCAATATGTCTGGCATCATCGTCGATGAGCCGACTCGGCTGCGTGAAGCGCGATCCGGAGCTCCTCGTCACGCCTGGCGCAGCGGCACCACACCGCTACGCTAGGAGCCCCTAATAGGGGCATACACTTACAAATGAGATGATTTTGTGTGTGCGTGTGACACACAAAATCATCTCGGTCCCCCCGCTCCGCCGATCGTCCGAAAGCGGACGCAGGGCAGGAGTGGGGAGACGGAGGAATCACGCCAGGTAGACGGGCACTATGTGTCCATCACCTCCGGCACTTCTGAAGTACACGTCGTGAAGCGTCTTTTCTCGGGACGCGCGTCGCGATCCACATAGGCGCGACACTGCGCCTCTCCCGCCGTGTGGTTTGCCTCTCGGCAAGCCGCCGCACAGTGGAGACATCGGGATTCCGCGTGGCAAGAAGGAGCCGTATGGCCCCCTGCCCGCAACGGAAACATTTACCACTGTAATGTATCTCCGTGGTGCACTTCCGTCCGGTGTGACCAGGCAGTAGGCACCGATGACACCTTAGCGATCTTGGCTTCATAACTTCGACTCTAGCCGCCGTCCAGCCGACCAGAAGTCGTCCTGCGTCATTTATTTTCTTAGCAGCCGCCACAGGGCAGCGAACGAACACATTACCGGTTCCGGAGGGGGCCCAGTGGATGTCTCCAACATGGACAGACGTCGCCTTACATCCTCCGGCTCGGACCACAGCTTCCATAACTGTAGACACTGAGACTGAATCAACTAGGTTCCAGATGCGTATACTCACCATTTTGTCGGGCCTACTCACCTTAACATCGTCACCTGTTACTTCTTTCATTTTTTGCACCAGTGTATTTGCAATGTCATCACTTGTGGCTACCGGCAGCTCTAAGAGCCGTGCACCGGTTGCCGTTGCTCTAAATGTAATAGAGTCTATACCGAGCTCTGAGGTGTCCACTTTGTCTTTGACCTCTTTCATCACTGAGGCGTATGTTACTCGTCTTGCCTCAGCTTCCGGCAGTATGTCTAGCACTACTACCGAAGACTGAGGCAAACGCAACTTAACAGGCGCAGACGCCCGCTTAACTCCGTCCCGTTTAATCGCGAAATGGACATCGCGGTACAAAGTTAGTACCTGTTTCTTCTCCTTAAGATCACCATCAAAATGAAGGTGACTCGTTAATTCACTCAATTTTTTCAGTTTCATTTCTCTCGCCGATTGACATGTGGTAGATTTTTTAAACCTTCCTCAATGTTGCTATGCCAGCGCGTTTTCGCAACTACTATCAATTCCCGGACGGCAGAATTGAATGAGCAGTCTTCGTCTTCTTGTGAGAACTTCACTCCCATTCCATCCTTACCCAAAGGTGGATCGGAGGTTCCTTTCCAAGGCCGAAGGACCAGGTTCCTTCGTCTTTTTCCTCTTGGATGACATCGTATTGTATACACAAATAAAAGTCTCAAACTATAGTCAAATCGTACTTCACAAAACTATAATAGTTACGTCACAAACATGTTACAACATGTTTTGCCACTGATTATATACAACTGCTTAGATAGAAGCACCGGCGGACAGGAACAGCGGCCGCAGCCCGGCGGCGGCGCCGAACAGTCCACTACGAGTACCGCGACACGCGACGGAGCAACCACAGAGCGCCCGCGCACACGTCCGCACGCCACGGCAGCTCGAACGCGACTCCGAAAGCCAACTCCTGCCTGACGGATACGACTTTAGTCTGAGGGCACCACTAGGGGTTCGAACCTCGGCTCAGGCCGTCGTAATTTCGATCCCCGTTTGAATTGGACGGGGGATCGATCGGAGGGGCGCCCGGGGGCGCCGGTGTGGAGCGTCCGGGTGCGCGCAGGCGCCCGATTGAATGCGCGATATTGAGTGTTTGAGGTCGTCGTCTTCGCCGGCGAGGACAGTGTCGTGTGTGTGTGTCAAATTGTGGTCGGGGTGGAACGGGTGGGCCCGTGGGGAGGTTACCTGCCGTTATGGGGTCGTCGGGGTCAATGAGAACGTGCCTCGGGCGACGTTGTCGCGTATGTCGGATATTACTCCTCGGTGCGTAGTCGACCGCACTGACTATAAGCGGGTTAGGGTGGGATTGGGGAGTCGAAGTAGCGTCGTGACGCTTTCTTCATAAACTGCTTGATGGAGGACAGATTAAGGTCGCGGTGGAGATCTACGCTACGAACGAACCACAGCGCACCAGTGGCTCGACGCAGAAACCTATTCTATATAATCTGTAGTCTGTTGATTAAATAGTAGGGTATGTGGGCGAATACGGGACTGGCGTATGTCATAATGGGGCGGATGCAAGCCTTGTATAATTTCAGCTTGTTGCGAAGCGACATTTTACTGTGCTTGTTAATAAAAGGATAGAGTCGCCCTAGTATAAAGGCGGCTCGGTCGCGGACATGCTTGATGTGAGGACGAAACGTTAGTTTCCTATCTAGGGTGACGCCGAGATATTTCGTTTTCGAAACCCACGGGATGTTTTGGCCGAATAGTTCGATCGAGTGATTCATAGAGTCGAATTCCCTGCTAAAGTACACCTGCTGCACTTTTTTCGGGATTGACTTCTATGCGCCACCGACGGAACCATTCGCCCAGTATCGTTACGGCTTTCTGAAGCCGTCTGGCTATTGTCGCACGGGACTTGGCGGATGTAAAGAGAGCCGTGTCATCGGCAAACAGCGATATTTCGACTTTTAAGTCAGAGAATTTAGGGATGTCGTTGGTGTACAACGAGTAGAGCATCGGAGAGAGGACGGCGCCCTGAGGGACGCCGGCTCGTATGGGGTGCGGGTCGGATAACGCTCCGTTTATACGGTAGCGATAAGAGCGATTCGACAGGAAAACTCGTACAATGAGTAAAATCCAGTCGGGGACACCAAACTGATGAAGCTTGTAAATCAAGCC